GTACATTTGTGCTGTCAAGTTCACAGAAGTGTGACATCCGTGTACCGGTACATGTCCATGTATGAAAACTAGTTTGTACATGTTGGAGTTTGGTACTTAAAGGGAATGTACAACGTTTGCTTTTGCTGCAATTTTCAGAAATACATGGATTTGGATGATTAGTACATGTATGTTACAGCAAATATTGTTAAAATGACTTGATTCATGATTTGGGCTTGTGGATGCTGAAAACAACAACAAAACTAATCATGTTCTTGTAGTCTGGTTCCCTGACCCACTTACAAATGTAAAATGAAACGGAGCAATTTATAGACTTTGGGGAATTGTAAGGTCCGAGGGTCAGTCTAGCAGGCTTGTACCCCTTCACAGGTGTATATAATCAATTGCAAAGAAAACGCAGAATAACTAATTATGAAAAATTAGGAGCAGTTTTTGAAAAAAAGCCAGTTTTCTCCAACACTAGTCAGCCGACCAGCGTTGGAAAAATACAATTTTTCTTGAAAATGACAGCACACCAGTAGCCACGATTTTACAGGATGCTTTGAGACTGTCATTCCCTAACAGTCCAGTAAGGTATTTCGTGATAATTTGATCATTTTGTTTTGTGATGTTTGCAAATGTTGTATCTTCCCTTTAATCCTTGTTACTTGTCATCTAAGTACATTGTACATGTACACGCTCCAAGCATCCATGCATTTGCATTGTACATGTATGTAGCGGTATGTATACTGCAAATGAGCCCAATGAATATCATTTAATCAGCAAATGGACAGTTGTTAAAAACATTTTAAAATAAGTTAAAAGAACAGAACATAGGCTTAGCCCTCCACACTGTTTACTGAGTATCGTACGTCGGTGAAGGGCAAAACCTAATATTGAATAATTGACATCACCCCGACGCAAATTCCATCTTGTGAATATTTTATATTTTGTCAAAATGTCCAGACTGACTACTTCGTATGTGACATTGAATAGCTGACGTTGAATAACTGAAAATTTAAATTACATTTTTATAATGTAGAACAAATCATGCTCGCTTCATTACGTATTCACATCAACAACCTGTAACACGGCCCCCGTTGGGAATTCCGAACAAAAAAAACAACTTTGGGAGTTTGGGGGGGAGTTCAAACAAGTAGGACACTATCATCATTGCCGGAGTGCAGGGGAGATGTTTCATTATTGTCCCAGACTCGGCCTGGCCTGGGAAATCTATCCCCTAGCTCACTGAACCCCCCTGATGAGAACGCGAACGTCAGGATATTAGCGGACTTGTTTGTCTGCCGTCCGGTGTGCTAAAAATGGCTCCTGGGTTTCCACGAAGCTGCAGAGTGTAATCGGATCGCTAGGGGCTTGTTGCTTGTCTGCTCCCAGCCCTAGGGACTTATAGGGCACTCGTGACACATGGGAGGGGACAGCGTAAGACTAAGAATGAGCTACATGTACATGCAGGACGGGGTTGAAGAGAACAGAACCTGTTGAGGCCCATCTGCTGCAGGACCTGAATGCGTTATTGGGTAAGCAGGCAACTGAAGTATCACGTGAATGCCCAATTGTGGTAAACATGTACTTTGGAGGATTTGGGTTTAGCACATGTGTGTGTAGAGTTTGCCGTCTTAATCCAGGAGTGAAATTTGACATAAAAACTGCTTGGGTCAAAACGGACCAGCTCAATCAATTTTGAGCTGTCACGCAAAAAAAAAGTCAAATTCTTTCACTTCCTTGAAATGCGTTTACGGTGCAAAATTTGACTGAGCACATCTTAAGGATTTTACAATGCACGTTCCAGAAAAATGCACTTTCGTGATCTAGGTGGATGGTTTGGCGCAAGATGTCGGAACGTTATTGTTCCCTTATACACACCTGTGAATTGGCGCAAGATTTTTTTTTTAAATGAATGTTCTGCGTGCATTGCATTCATCGGAAGCAATGCTGTTATTTTGATGTGAATTATGACCAGTGAGGACAGGATTCAGTTTAAGAAGAAAAACCAAACGGTTATCGTTTCTGAGCTCTACATATTGCAAGTTTATAACTACAGTACAAATTGCAATTGAAAGTTAACACTGCGAATGGGAATGGGAAATTTTGTGAAAAAAAATTCGCATTCGGATTTCCCATTTCGTGAAAATGTTTAACCACTTGTGTGAAATCAGTTAGGTTTTGCCCTTCACCGACGTATAAACACTATGTACATGTACTCAGTGTGTTGCCTTCCGAGTGAAAGTTGGAAAAATTACTTGGGTGGGACTCGAACCCATGACCTCGTGCTTTCTAGTGCAGACGTCTTACCACTCGACCACCAAGCTTGCGAGTTCGGTTGGCTGGTTCGAATCTAATTTAGTGTGAAAAGGCGTGAAATGTTTTCCCACTTGTGTGAAAAGGCGTGAAAATGTCTTCCCACTTGTGTGAAAAGGTGTGAAAATGTTTTCCCATTTGTGTGAAAAGGCATGAAAATGTTTTCCCACTTGTACGAAAAGGTGTGAAAATGTTTTCCCATGTGGGAAAAGTTTTTTGCACTTTGTGAAATGAAAATGAATTCCTTGGGAAGAGAAAAAGTGTGAAGAGAAATTCCCAGGTTAACTTTCAATTGCAATGTACACTGTATGGTTGTAAAACATCACTTTATAGCAGTGTGCATTTCTCCAATGTGCTTGTCTAGATGCATGATAAGCACACATGAATGTTCATCGTGCCCGATGTGTTTAGTCAGAGAGATTCATCTTGTTGTTCCAGCCCCATTAGCGTAAAGGCTGGCCTATGATTAGACGCGAGTGTTTGTCGGCTTGCTAGGAGCTGAGTTCCAGGAAGTGAGACTGTAAGACGATCGGCTTGTTTTCCGTTTTCTCCCCAGGGATCTGCCAGTGCTCTTTGATCAGAATCCCAGAATACCTGTGGAAGTTGCCGTAGATCGACATTCACGTACATCTTGATACGTGCATTGATCCTGTTTTTAAGGGGGGTGGGGTTGGAAAAAGTGTTGTCATATTAGCTTTTGAGATAATCTGTATTCGGCGTGTTTGCCTCCATTAGAACGGTGTCAAGGCTACGAACCTGTTTCACATTTCATGTGTGTGCCATGCAGTGTATAGTATGCAATTAGGAAATGGCATGTGCTGGTACACAATGTACACATACCGACCTACGTACACTCTTGTACCTTCACTTGTCAAGAACAATAATAAGAATGTAATGTTTTTCCTGATTGAAAAAAAAAAACATTGGCTTTTTTCTGTGTTCAATGTACATGTACATGTACATGTAGCTGGCGAGGAATTATTTAGTTGGCTATAAAATTCGCTTAACGACATTGTAATGTTTATTCTAACCTCTGTATTTTATTGATGTGAATTTTAATCCTTAATCGTCAACCTTTTTTAAATCTTTGTGTAAATCATGTAATATACCCTGTGGGCTGCGACATTAATTTTATTTCTTAAAACAAAAATTGTTGGCCAAAATTTAGAAGAAATCCATCACTAGTCTCTGATGCACATGTATTCACTGACCAACTTCAACATGCTTCAGTTAGTACATGTACTATTAATGTGAATTGATCGTGCATGTACGGTGTCTTGCTACATGTACCGGTAGTTTATAAAACATGTGCATATGTATGAGTTGTAGCGTGTACATGTATGTGTATCAAGTTGAACAACCTTTTTCGATAAACCCATAACTGGCCATAAGGCCAGGTGGTCTGTGCTCGAGTTGAGTGACTACCAGGCAGATGTCACAAATGAGTGATTGTATTTTGTGCCTGAGGACAATGAGAAATTGTAACGATATTAAAGGAGAGAGGCCTGTAATTAACACCCCCACAGAATGGCAGGTCGATATTGACAGCATATTCTGTTGAAAATACACTGTAACGTGCATATATTGAACAATTTCTTTCAACAGACAGGATTTCAGATCTATCAAACGGTAAACACAGTAGGCCTATACATGTATAAATTATACACCAAAGTCCCAGAGTGCTGCCGGTACATAGGGTAGTGAACGTACCGGTACATTTACATGTTCATGTACATCTTAATGTACTGTACAATGTACATTTACATGTACATGTACATGTAGTTCCATGCGTAGACTTTGAATGTGTAAGACGCACATCAATCACTTTCCTTCTGAATGTACGTTTCATGGTCACGTAATTCTCACCATGGGCAATTTGTGCATGCACCGCCCACACACGTGTGATTCAGAGACATTCTTGGAGCATGAATGGCTTGTTTAAAGTACACATGTGACATACGGTACATGGTACATACATTGTATGTGTACCGGGTACTTGTGTTATTTACAAGAAATCTCAGTCACACCTCATACGTGTATACTGTATGTTTACAGTTGTCAGTGTTCTGAGGACTCCAACTTAAGGAGCTGGCGTTTTGTAGCACTCACTAAAAAATGGTTGTGTGATCTTGAGGAATCAGTTTGGTACTTGACTATTCTTTCCAAATACATACACATTTTTCAATGCCAGCTGTTAAATTGTGTATGTTTGTTATGTCGCACTGGCTGGGTAAAGACACTTCTGATCTTACAAATTAATGTCAGTAGTCTGAAGTTGACTCTCTGAACACATGTTCATTTACACACTGAGTATATACAGTGTTTATACGTCAACAAACGGCAAAACCTAGTATTGATTCTTATCACCCCGACGCAATTTCCACCTTATGAATAGTTTCATTGCGGTATCAGCTGCTACATCAGATTCGAACCAGCCAACCGATCCTGTAAGCTCGATGGTCGAGTGGTAAGACGTCTGCACTAGAAAGCAGGAGGTCGTGGGTTCGAGTCCCACCCGACAGATTTTTTCCAACTTTCACTCAGGGGTAACACACTGAGTATACAGTGTAAATACGTCAGTGAAGGGCAAAACCTAATATTGATTTTACATCACCCCGATGCAAATTAAATGAATACGTTCATTTCACTTATAAAAAGACAGAGAAATAATTGTCAAAATGGTGTTTGTTCTCTACCACCAGGCTCAAGACTAAGCTAAAAGAAGGTCCCATTGATGGCCCATCCAGCTTGAAGACCTACCGTGAGGACATTCGTCAGATCCTCTTCAAGGAATTCAACAGCCCCATCAGCGACTTGGAGATTGGCGTGGTGCTGCGTAGGGCCTTCCCCAAGCACAGCCGCAAGGGCAAGTACTTCTTGGGGATCGGGTCTTGCGGCGTCAAGAATGCCGATGAGAGTAGCCGGAAGATTACAACAGACAACCCAAAGGTGTGTGTAAAGAAGTACAGTGGCGCCCTCTCTTGAATCAAAGGAGGAGTGGCAGGCAAATTGAACAGGATATTCAGTGACGTCAATGTGCTGGCGGAGAACAAATTAAAGCAAGTCAGCATTCAAAGACTTGTCAAACTGAAACAAAGAAGTGCTATATACTGCAATAGATTTCTTGCCTGCCGCCCTCACGTGCGCATCAAGAGAGGGCTTTCTTTGAGTTAATTTCCCTGGTTGAGAACAGGCTGAATCCCAATTTTTCTCAGTTAACACATTTTTTTTCCAGTGCCAAGGTTCAAGAAGCTCCCAGTCAGATCTCATCTAGATAGTGCCATCCATTTAATAAATTCATTAATTGTGAGGATGCAAATGCTCACATTGACTGCTTTTCAAACAAGGTATTTTTTAAAAATTTTGTAACATTGAAAAGTTTGGCCATTCGTCATCTGTTTTTGTCCCTTTGTGCCTCAAGGAAGGCCTGGGCATGGTTTAGTTTCATGTGTGTGGGCGTTTTTTCATTGACCCTGACTCCCAGGTCATTCTATATAATGTTTTTGCTTAGTGGATCAAGATATGAAATACCTTGAATATCCATCATTCTACATGCAAGTACTCCAAGCACAAAAACCAAACAACAAGTTATCAACAACAAAAAACTTGCGTCGCAAATGCTTCTCATATGACTTCAAATTGAAAGAAAAAACAACATCTGAGAATGCAAATTTATACATGCATCTAAATTATCACCCTGGTCACCACGTTTACTCCTTTATTACCCGTGCTTTTCAGGCCTAGGGTCTCTTTGAACAATTACCCCCTCAACGGTAAGGAAGTGCAAGTTGGGGGAGACCACTTGGAGTGACATTCGAACGCATTGACGATGATGCTGACACTCACGCAAAGACACTAAGCTTTGTGCAAGTTCAAGATTGTCGTGTGTACTTTCTGCGATACGCGCGCGAAATCAGTACGCGCACCCAGTGTACCCCGTCCACCGGGCTCCCGAAAGTGGTAAAAAAAGCGCCCTCTATGTACCTCATAGACCATCTCAGCTTCCAACTCAAAAGTCATTTCCAAAAGTACATATTTATGACTGCTTGAAAATATCGGTCTCGTTCAAATGACGTCATTTCCTACAGACCATCCACACGTGCATTGGCATTTTGAGCGTCAACCTGCAAAACGCACATCGGCTGTGTCGTATCTCGAACACATTTCAAGCAACAAGCGTGTGTATATGGAACATTTTCAACACTGCGCAATGCGTGCTTGATTGCGTAAAATACGCAGTTGCAGTTCTCCTACAGAGATGGCCGTCATTGTTACATCGTACAATCCCCTTCGTTTTCTCAATTTCGATAGATTCAGTGAGGTTTCTGGCAATAAGCCTCTGTACTGATGACGTCACACTTTGTTTACATGTGTGCTTTCTTATGGGAGCCTGGTGGGGATGATGGTTTCGTAGCCCCATAGAAAAGCGCATGAGTAACTAAAGCATGACGTCATCAGTTCAGAGGGTTATTAAAAAAGTTACATTCATGTACATTTACGTACATGTGTATAATGTGCCATCGTATACAGGTGTATCTCGTGCACATAACTTCCCAGAAAAGAATTCACAGGGTGACTGACATCCAGAATGCAAATTTCTTCTGATGAAAGCTCTCTGTCATGTCTCCCAATTCGAGATACATACCCGGTACATTGCATATTGCTGAATCAGAAGTGATTTCTGACCGAGCGAGCATTCCTGATTAATTGCTGATGAATTCCACAGCCAACTTCAATACGAGGATGAAAGGTTGATTTGAGAAAAAAATCCCTGTGCTTGCCAGTTGAAATTGAACTGGAGGCCAGTGTGTCCAGTGGTAGTCTGGCATCCTGACTGCAGTCATGTAAAATAAATCCATGAGCATGGTTCCAGTGTTTCCTTTTATAGCTAAACGTGAGGACCTGTAATCTTATAAATTCAAATTTACATGTATACGGTACATGTATTTTCAAAGTTGTAGTAAATGATTTATAACTAAACACATTTAATATACAATTATATGTACCGGTACATTTAGTTGTGTTTTACTATACTCTCGAGGACAATGCTTTGTGTTTTCTTTGTCCCTGTAGTATAACACTCTCCCATAGCCTAAGCACATAACGATACAATAGAGGACCATTTTCAACAAAAGACCAAACGCCCGAGGACTGAAAGGATCTGTTGTTCTCCTTTTGTGTGTCGGTCCTCAGGGTTATGTAGAACACATACACGCGTGCTATTAAAAAAAAAAGGTAATTTCGAAAAATTCAGAGGATTGTACAGTGATAGTACATGTTCTATCGTTAGTATGCGAATACAGTTTGACTTTGATGTCACAACAGACCTTTTGCAGTGCAGGTTTCTCATAGTGACAATGAATGCACGAAAGGTTAACCCATGCCTACCCTTGTGATGCAAAGCCATTGCCCCCTGACTCCACCTTAACGTAATAGCTCTATACTTTCATGACAACATTTGCTGCGAAAATTTGATAGTTTTATTTTTACGTTTCTACATCCAGGGCAGCCTTTAATCAGTGCGCTAATACAGGTTTGAAGGATGGTCAAACTGTAGAACTTGAGAAGGGACAAGGAAGGAAGTGTTATTTATAAATGTGCATGTGTAGAAGGGAAAAACCCACCGGAGAATACGGTACATGTGACTACCTGGGGAAAACCCACAGAATCCGACAAAAAGTTACATTATTGCACTTGTACATTGATGAGGATCAAACCAGGAACACATGAGTTGTATTTCTGCTTCCGATTACATGGCATTTGAAAATGGGGTAGGTGGGTAGGGAATTTTTTTTGGGGGGGGGGTTCAATTATTTGTGTGTACGTTCATATGGAGGCGTCTGCATGTAGTCAAGGGTAAAAGGTAGAAATTGATGGTTTTGGGTGTTTTTTCCCTCATTTTTCCCATAAAAAAATTAGGGTGGGGCTGTCAGAATAGGGTAGGTAGGGAAACCGGAAGCAGAACTATTTTATTTTTGGCCTAGTCATCTCATTAGTCAAAGACAATTGAGAGTCAAAGCTAGATTTATCAAGTCAAGTCCAATGCTTGTAAGATGTCGTGGCCAAATCGCTTTCACCCTAACCCTCCAAAATCTACCACGTTTTGCAGGATTTTATTGGATTGAGAAAGGCTACTTGGGGTTTTATGCCCCTTAAAAAGTAAAAGCACAAAGGAATGTGCTGTTTTCTACACACTCGTGAATTTTTTGAGGATTCAGGCAGATACCTTTTAAACTATGCATTCAGCGTTAGGGCCGAGTTGGGAAACAAATAATTACAGACCATCGATATTGGCTGTTAATATCAAGGTTTTCCTTCCATGGATGTAGTCAAGTCCATCTCAAGTTCATCCACAAGTAAATCACAAGTCCAGTCACAAGTCACAAGATGAACAATAACAAAGGCATTATGCTTTTGTCAAAGTTCATTTGAATAGCTTGTGAGTTGAATTGGGACTGGAGGACTTGTGATGGACTTGCAGGGACTTGTGATGGACTCGTGATGGTTTCGACTACATCCCTTTTTGCCTTTCCCCATTTTTCCCCCCACTTCTCTTCATTAGTGAAACAAGAAAGTGAATGTGATGACATGAAAGTGAGCACATTGCTGCCACTTGTGTAAAAAAACCACCAACTGGAGGGTAGACAAGGAAGGAAGTTTCAGTTATTTTTTAGATGTGTGTGTAGGAGGGATAACCCTGGATTCTTGGGTCTCGGGGAAACCCACGCTCTCCAGAAAAAAAAGAAGTAAAAACTTAAAAATTGGTCTGCAACACATGGCAAAGATTAGAAAGCTGCATCTCACCTTGACATCTAATCATGCCATTGAATCTTGGCTATAATGCACAGTACGCTGGTTGGAACAGCTGCTTGGGAACTTGGAAGTTCTGAGAAGAAACTTGGGTCATGAAACTTTTGGTTATCAATTTTGTGTTCTCCGATTTTAGCTATTCAGAGAGTAAATTGTTTAGGCCAAAAAAAATAAGTTTCCAGTTTCTGGTATGCGCGCGCGTCGCCGTAGCCATGCGCGTCGGCAAAATGAAGCAGTTTTTTTTTTCAATGAAAGATGATGTCTCAAAACTGCCAAACTCACTGGTTTGACTGGAATCCTGCTGCTGCACAATTTTAACGTTTTTTTAGATGGGGATATGATCGAGAATAAGCTTTATGTGGCCTCTCTGGACTCCCATATATTTTCACTATTTACACTCCAGTGCACACCTCGGAGGTGTTTTGTTGATCGTTATCGTTGAAAATTGATAAATTTTGACTTGTTCTGACTTTTGGACCGAATGTTCAGATTTTTTTTTACCGTAAAGATGTTTATGAATGGGAATATATATGTGTTTGGTCTGTATAAAACACTGTGTTTGACCGGTTGGAGTTGGATGCTGACCCGCTCGGGTAATTATCAATATCCAGACTCCAGCTGGGCCCAATTTCATAGCACTGCTTAACAGCCAACTTTGTGCTTACCGAGCCTCCATCTATTTCATAGGGACCGTTAAGCAGTAAGCACAGTAAAAACACGCTTAACCCCAGAAGAAAACTTTGCTTCAATCAGTGACATAACAATAGAAATCACCATGCGCGTGCAACCGTTAGCATGAAATAGTGCTTAAGCAGCAGCATGATTTTCTGCTATAGTAAGCACAACTTTTCTGCTTACTGTTAAGCAGTGCTATGAAATTGGGCCCTGGTCTTAAACAGAGTGTTTAACACCTCCCAAGCACACATTTATTCCATTAGTAATTATTTTAGTAATTTGACAGTTGTATCAAGTCATGTGTTTGCTGTTGATGATGTTTTAAATTCAATCCGAAACTACGGATTCAGAAGATGTGAATAAGTCACTTTGAGGTTGCTTCTCGAGTATCCCTGCCAAGAACATAAGTAGAGAAGCACCTGTAAACATCGTAACTAACCTTTGGTGATTTTTTTCTTCTCTTTTTTTTCTCGTGTCTGTGTCTGTCCATGCAGTCATTGATGACCGTACAATCAGACGGCGATAGTAGAGAGCCCTCCCCAGTGATGCTGAAACCAGTCAAGAAACGGGCCATCCAGGAATGGAGGGAGACGGAGAACGGGCAAGCGTTCGCCGCTGACCAGGTCAAAAATGTAAGTGTCAGAGACAGCGGAAGATTGCTTGGGACCTTGTGCCAATTGTAACGAGTTGTAACGAGTGGAGTGTCATGGCCTAGCGGTTAAGAACACCGGACTCATGTTCTGGTGTTTCAGAGGCAACAGTGACGTGGGTTCGAGCCCGGGTGCGGACACTTGTGCCCTTAAGCAAGGCACTTAACCATTATTGCTTGGTCCTTGGGATGGGACGTGAAGCCGTAGGTCCCGTGTGTTGTATAATGTCTAATGCACGTTAAAGAACCCAGTACACTTATCGCTAAGAGAAGGGGTTCGCCCCGGTGTTTCTGGCAGTGCGATTATCTTCAGCCATGAAGTCTGCACTTGTAAGGAAGAAGAGTCACTGATTTTTGTGACTCGAGTCGAGTCGAGCCATTTTAAAGAAGTGACTCGAGTTGAGTGGAGTCATTAGGTCAAGAAGGTCGAGTCGAGTCACAGTGTGTAGTCGAGTCGAGTCATAGTGTGTAGTTGAGTCGAGTCGAGTCAAGTATTTAGCTCGAGTCAATTCGAGTCACAAATATTTCAACACTATACAATAAATAAACACAAGAGAGAAAGTCATTTTTTAGCTTTTGTAATTTTACATTCAGGCTACTACATGTAGTGACACCACATTTTGACTCTTAATCAAACTAAAAAGGGGGTGCCAGCTGATCGCCGTTCAACTAATGGGGACACTGATTAAACCACGTATGTACCGGTATATGTACATTATTCACAAACATTCTAACGTGACGTAAACAAAAACTGGCACCGGCGTAAGTCATTGCAAATATTTTTCGCAAAGTTTTGCTTTTATTTTTGGGACTCAAGTCTTATTAGCCTTTCTCGAGTCGAGTCGCATCATTCTGATGAGGGACTCAACTCGCGTCGAGTCATTTGCTTGCAGTGACTCGAGTCGAGTCGAGTCATTTGCCCCTTTTTTTTTACACTTTGTTTTCCTTCAAATGTCGGCTGATGACTGCAAATGGTGCCCGACTTAATTTAGTGCAAATACTTGATCATAACCCCTCTAAAAACACGTTAAAATTGTGCAGCAGCAGGATTCCAGTCAAACCAGTGAGTTTGGCAGTTTTGAAACATCATCTTACATTGAAAAAAAAACTTTTTAATTTTGCTGACGCACATGGCTAGGGCGACGTGCGCGCATACTAGAAACCGGGGCCTTTTTTTTTTGGCCTAATGGACACTCTGACGTAAATTTAGTTGATTTCTCTCATGTAAATCATGTGTGTCCATAGTTTCACTTTAATGTGTTAGACTTTTGAAAACTTGAAACCATCCTAAATGTCAGGAAACATAAAGATCTTTATCTGCAAAGATTAGGTGTAATGACACGTACTTTCGAAATGTATGCATGACTAAAATACAAACTGCAACTGTCTGGTACAAGATAAAATTTCCCATTTTGTTTGGTCTCAGTCAATCTTGGCGTACCGCTGAACAGAGGTTTGAGTAAAGTCAACATAACTTTTGGACCTACTTGTGATGGAGAGATCTATTTATATATATTTCTCCAAATCATGATTTACTGAATGCCAAGCACGTACAGTACTGCGTTAATGTACATTTCAGTACTGCAGCATAGCACTTTAGAAACTTTGGAGCGCTGGTTGTTTGTGGACAAATTTTGGCGTTGAGAGGAAAGTTCTGCGAAAAGAGAACAAAGCCGAATGGGATCGGTTGGTTGGAGTTATTGACAGCTTGGGTCTGTATTGGACTTGGATTTCTAAGAAAACACAATGGATGGATTGATGAGGCTGGCTCGAATGCATCAGGTTTGTGTGGAAATAGGAACACTGTTTTTTGTGAAAAAGTCGTTTGGGTCCAAAGTGTGCATTGTTACATTGTAGTATGAATGGGCTTTATGTACAACCATACCGTTGCGTGTACATTTGTACAGCACACAGAAGACTCAGCATCAAATTATTATGATAATGTCTGCACATGATTGTGATTGATTTAGCGCCGTAATAGAAACTTAGGAACATACTTTAATGCAACTTTCTACTCTTCTTTAATAACCCTAACCACCCCAACTCCATCAAAATCCACCCCCTCCCCCCCCCCCCCCCCCCCTATTTTAGTGGATTTTGGGGAACTTGGTCCAGGAGGCCTGGCGTGACTAAATATTGATGGAGCATGATGGACTTGGGCCTAATGGCCTGAAGCAGTGCTGGGGGTATTCGGTTGGTTTTGCCTAGCTTCCTGTACTGCTATTGTGATAAAAGCCATGTGTAGCAAGTCCATGAATGTCAACCAGTACGTCAGTGGTGGATTCCATTATGTCATGTTCAGTTTTGTATTGGAGGCACAGTGATTGATGGATTTTGATGGACTTGGTCCAGTTCCTAATAAAAGACGCTAGGGAGTTAATGTTAATGTATGAAAATGATTTGACATCTCTTTTTGGTTAATATTTATTGAAATGTGTACCTTTTTAATTATTTAAAAATGTTCGTGCTTTTCCTGGAAAAAAAAAGGGCCCTGTTGCTGTGATGTCTCTCCAGGAAGACGCTAGGTTCAGTTTAGGACTTGTCTGTTCAAGTTGTGAACCCCAAATTTGCTCACTGAAAACAGTTGTGAGAAAGCTTTGCTCACTGGCTTACCGGTACTGTCATCTACTGAAACATCATCGCATCGCCAAAGAAAAGAACATTTACAACAGCAGAATATCCAAAATTCTGGCTTTTTTTAGGCTTGCTGAAACAGCTGTAACATTGAGGTTTCTGTCTGAAATGACATCACACTTTTGCTTATGAATATGGAAACTAAAATGCCCTAAAGAAAAATGGCAAAATGAAAATTGAAACTAAAGTTAAATTGGACAGAAAGGTGCATTTTTCAAGGATTGCATTAAAAATAAATTACATTACATGTACTGTATATGAGCCCTTTAATAAACATGTGTACATGTACTTGTTCAAAACCAGCCAAGCACATTTTTATTTCTATTCCAAAAAGGGGAAGAAACACAGTGGGGGAAATATAAATCAAAACTAGGCCACTTTATTCAGTTATTTTTAAACCATTATTTTCTTCATTGATTAGAACATGTCCTTTTCAATCGTGATTTCAACAAAGGTACAAAATTTACACATAATATGAAAATGGACAAGTGTATGACTAGTGGCATACAACTGTTTGTCTGATGATGTGTCCCGAACCAGTCCCAAATCAAATCCCAATTTGCAGGAAATGAGATTAGTCGCACCGCCCACGGATGAATTTCCCTCCAAGCTGAGACATTCATCAACTTTTGTGCTCCGCGAAGCTATACAGCAGAATACACGTCACAATTTATGAACAACGGGTATCGTCTTGTGCCTACGTGTGCATATGCACATTATACAGTTTACCTAAACCTGATATATTTTGTAAAAAATGATACATATAATACCAATATTTTACATACATCATGAGCCGGATGTAAATCACTCCTGATTTTTCCAAACCATGTACACTGTAGGCCTACCGTACATGTATCGGTACACTGTTTATGACCTTTTGTCAATTTGGTTGGATTTTTACTTTATGAACAATCTGAGAAAGTTGACCTTCCTTTTCTTTAAACTTTTTTCTCTGCCCAATATTTTTATTGTTACAACTAATCCTGTGTGGATGACGGTCTGAATATATATTTTGGGTGTATAAATCAACCTGGACAATCTCGTTTCATCACACTACTACCGGGAGTACTACCAAATCTGTGCAGTTTTATGGCACTCCATTAAAAAAAAAAGAATTTGTTTTGACCATGGAACTTTATGTACCTTATAGCAGAATTTGCCAAAAACTATGGAAGCAGGGATGGAGATTCTAGCACTGGTCAGCAGCATTCAGGCTGTGAATGTGCTTCCGATTAACACAAGTTGTGTGTTGTGCAACTTGAAATCAGCCTCAACATATTGTGAAAATGTTGTGGCGTAAATCCGTGTCAGAGAATGGGGGGATTGGGTTGATCGGGATGATAATACATTAATTAAAAAGTAAATTTAACCTGGCCGTGAAAATTCAAAAGGGGAAATTTAACACCTACCGGTAGACACCATGTGACACTAGGAGGGAGGGAGGGAGGGAGGGGGGGGGGGTGTTCATGATTTGTGTAATGCAAACTTCCCTGGTTACATCCTATAACCTTACCTAAAAACAGTGCAGTGAAAGCTTTTCTACTGTTTGTTCTCCGTGTTTAAAAACTATTTAATAAATTTGGACTGTTGGAAAGTTACAATGTATAAGGTAGCCTCAACATTGGCATTTTTTGTTTGTTTCTCACCACAAAAATCGATGCAGATTGTCCAATGACCCATCCGCCCTGGTCAAAAAGTGTGGGAGATATATCCTCCCCGTCCCCTGGGGATTTAGTCCCATGTGTCATTGTCAGTGATCACTACAGTGTCCACACTGTAAAGGCAGGTACATGTATGTACCGGTATACTTGGCAGGAATGCAAACACAAATGCAAATTGATGACGTCATGGCAAGTATTTGCGCTGCCAAGTTGCAAAAGTTGAACACATTTCAACTCCAGCAAATATCGAAGTGAATGTTTCTTGATGCTACATTCACTTCCCATCCACATTCACATGAAGAATGAACCAGCCTTTCTTGTTTCTCCATTTTCACTTTTTAACGTTCTATCCTTCTCTTTTTTCAACAGCTCATCCGTGATGCCAACAACCAAGCGTCAGCACCTGTTGTGTCCGTTGCCCCTAGCGATGGCCTGGTGGCACCCCGCTGGCGGCCAATGCTTGTGCTTCCTCACCACCTCCCGATGCCCCCGCGGGGCATGCTGTTCCCTGCCGGCGGCCTGCCGGGGACGATCCCCATGCCTCATCCCATCATGGCTACCAGTGAACCCAACAACAATATCAACCGCAGTCTGGCACAGTCCAGGCCGCGCAAGCGGCACAACGTCGACCTTGGCGGGTTCCCGAAAATGCGATACGGGGCTGAGAGAGCCAACAAGAAGCCGCGAAAGGAAGGTGCTATGATTGAGCTGTCCTCCCCGCACAATGGACTCGTATCCGAATGGAAGAACCTAGCCACCATGCAGCCCATCATATTGGACTTTGAGGTTCCACCGCCTAAACTACCTCTACGGGTTCCCTCACCCGCCAGCTCCAGTCCGTCGCAGGACAGGCCCAGTGCAGACGAGACGTCAACAGCAAAGGAGCGAGTCAAATCTGAAGAGATAACCAACCATGCTGACGGCAAATCAGAGAGGGTGCCGGTAAGCCCACGTGCTGGGGAAAGTGCTGAAAATTCTCCATCCAGACAGGAAGAGTCTACAAACAAAACTCTACAGGTACATACAAATGTAGGACAAATGATGGGTCACTCTCAAGTGCCTCTCTTTTCAGTGATGAGATGAAATATCGGCTCAAAATGGCCCCCACTTTGAGGAAATTTCAATTCTGTTTGCTAAATTCTGTCTCATTAATTCCGCATTCAAAGAGTTAAAAAGCAATGTACATTTCTTGAAATGTTCTGCCCATTTTATCCACTGATTTAAGAGTGAAGTTGACAATGTGACTTTAAATTTCAATTGTTGAATTGACCAATTAAAACATTTGATTGGATATTCAGAGTTATGTCTTATTGCCTCAAATCCTACAACCAATATATCACGACGCACTTATACAAATATATGAAATACCTTACTGGACTGTTAGTCAAGTCAGTCGCAAACATCCTGTAAAATCATGGCACCTGGTGTGCTGTCATTTTCGAGAAAATTTGTATTTTTGTATCAATTTCCAATGCTGGTCGGCCGACTGGCGTTTTTCAAATACTGCCCCAATTTACAATATTTAGTTAGTCCGCATTTTGTTTGCAATCGATTACACACCCATGAATGGGTACAAGCCAGCTAGACTGGTTCCCTGACCTTACAATTTCTGACGTCTACAAATTGCTCCGTTTCATCTTAAGTGGGGTCAGGGAACCAGACTGCAGGAACACGACTGTTTTCCTTGGTTTTTCCAGTATCTACGAACACAAAGCTTCAAACAAGACAGTGTAACGATATTTGCTATAAAATAGTAATCCCCAAAATCCAATCATTTCTGTAAATTACAGCAAAAGCCAATGTTGTCAGGAAGCCTTTGTTTTAAGGAAGCCTTTCAGTACAGTCTTTAGCTTACGGTATTTAGTCATGGTCCTTTGAAATTCTCCTTCTTTTGTCCATTTCATTAAAGGTACCTTCAGGTGATCAAGGAAACTCTCCGGATAGTAAGAGATGCCAAGATAATAAGAGTCCTCATCCATTCAAGAAACCGGACATTGACAATTACAGGAACAATGTCTCGGCCGGACGCTGCTTCATGTGTCAAAATCCGATTCCACCTAATACCGGCAAAGATGCATCTCCGCAAGAAAGTGCAATATTCTCCATTTGTATAAAGTGTAAGAAAGTGGCCATGTCCGGTGCCAAGTCACTGAAGCCTGTACCAAAGTTCCCTTATGCCTGCAACCCGAAGCTTGCACCCAGAACTGTCTATGTTCCCCCACCGCGGAGACAGTATCGCCCGAGGCCACCTCCTCCCACGGGTCCCGCGAAGGCAGTAGGGATACGACTTTATCCGCCCAGGTCACGTTCTAAGTCCTCTACTTCACAGCGATCCACCATGGTTCAGTCACCTTTGGTACCCCCAAGTTCTCCAGGTCAGATGTCGATGCCGGGCTCACCCGCACCTAGTCTACCTCTTGGGAGTCCTCAACCAATGTCACCAGCCATTGTGATGCACAGTGCTCCACCAAGTCCCAGGCACTCATCAGACTCTGGGATCAAGATGAGTCGATCTTTGCCTCCTAGTCCGTCCAGGATCTATCAGCATCCCTTGTCTCCAGCTGGCCCTGATTCCGGGGAGCCTGATGTTCCAAAGAGAATACCCTCTGCGTCTCTTCAAGTCCCTAGCCCCTACAGTTCCAATCCCTCAACTCCTGGTGGCAGGGATTCCACTTCATCAGAGAGATTATCCCTGCCACCAGGACGAGAGCAAGATGACGCAACCATCAAAGCATTGCTTCAGTTAGGTAGGGGTGGTGTGGAGAGGACTCCCTCAGAGCATAGCACTGAGAATACTCCTGTTCCTTCTCCAACAAGTCGACCTCCTGACAGGGACTCTGTACTGACGCCCAATCCCACCAGCAGTATTCCCATACCTCACTCTCCAAACAATATACCTCAGGTTGCAGTGTCTAGCAGCCTGCCACTCCTTGGAGGGCCGGTGCCTATGATCCCATCCAATGCAGGCGTGGTGATGGGTCCCGGAGGCCAGCTTTTACCCATTGTTCCAAGCTGGCCTCTGCCAGGAGGCTACCCGCCTGTGTCCTTACTTATTCAGCAACCTCTGGCCCGAGAGTCATCCAGCCCCACTGTATCATTAGCAACCTCAGATTCGCTCCCTTCAGGCATCAGGTCTCGCTCTCTGCTGGAACCAGCAAAGACAACCGCTGGACCTGTTGACAGCTACTCCTACGACCTATCCACACTCAAGTATCGTAAGGGCTTAAAGAGATCTCGTCTAGTAGATAGGACAACTGACTCCCCGATTGCGGACCCAGTGCATGAAGAGAAGTCCAAACAGCCCATTGTGGTAGTTGGGACAAACTGCGCAGGATCCACTTCAGTTAAACTCAAGAACAACCCTAAGGAGCCCATGTATCACCAGGAGCAGGGTTCCCGAGATGTGCCAGACTTTTACGGGAAGCCGTTCACCGCATTCTGCTGTCGCTGCTCTGGACGTGATATCATGTTGCTGCAGTGCCCAGACTGTGACTTTGTCTGCAATAGCATGTATTGGATGGAGCAGCACATTGCCTCCCAGCGTCATTCTGAGAGTCACAACAACAGTGGAGTGCTGGAGGTCACGACCCGACATGCAAAGGAGGCTGATGATAGGGACGAGATTGCATCTCAGTCATCAGTTGAGACGCAGTCGGCAGATACTGACACTGATGCTGCATCACCACCTCCAACAAGGGTACCCCAGGAGGTAGGAAGAAAATACATGCATTCTGTACAAGACGATCACTTTTATTTTCAAACTTCACGTTTTATTTCAATTTATCTTAGTGTCCTGGAAGTGTCACAGAAATTGGCCAGTCATATTTGAGGTGATCAGAGAAGAAAACAACACTTATCATTACTAGGAGGGATGGTAAATGATTTGAATGAAAACAGAATTCCCCCACCCCCCTCTCCAATGTCAATCACAGAGATTTCAGTGTTGAGTGAATTTAAAGTATTTGGCTAAGGGTCAGCAAAAAAGGTTAGATACAGGAATGATGTTCTACCTCGCATTTCGATAAGGCCCCCCCCCCCCCCCTGAACAAAAACAAACAAACAAACACTGAAAACCATGTATAATTTAGTCAATTTTTCCTTATTATTTTATAACAGTTACCTTGGTCAAGAGTCTCAGATCCTACAAGTCGGCTACCTCTTCCCCTATGGCAGGATAACATCTTACGTGTCATGCCAGAACGCAGCATTCCAACAGAGACCCTCCCACCAAGACCTAGCCAGGCCAAATTTGTGGTCTCCTCCAGTTTTGGCAGCTTCGGAACTGTAACTGAAAACACAGTACCTTTGGATCTCAGTGGGAGGGCCTTCCACCAAACTCCTTATTTTCCGTTTGAGTTGAGGGAGCCCAGGAAGGATGGCTCCACGGAGGAATCAAGCCCACTGGATCTGTCTGGATACAGCCGATCATCCTCATCCATCATGTCTGCTGAGGGCAGCGGTAGCGTGCATCCATTTCTGACCACCAGGAAGCTTGGACCTCAGCCCAGCTTCAAGGTCAAAAAGACTCCATTGGACTTGATATCTAGTCAGCATCCATTAAATGCGCCCAGTCATGCTTCAGTGACCACAAGCACTAAGACATCTTCACAGCCTCCAGTACCACATACCTTCTTTGATCTGATGCGACTTCACGGCATCCCAGTCCCCACAACAGCCATGACGTCAACCACGAATACCTCCAAGAGTCTTCAATCCCAAACTTCCTCAAAGTTCCCCCCAGTTCAAAAGTCCACGACAGACCCCTCCATGTTATCAGCGGTCAGGACTCACTCAGACAACCCCTCCAGCCCTAAATCTAGTCCCATTGTTCCAAGCATAATTTTATCCAGCAGCACCTCAACGTCTTCTAATCTACCAAGGGGATCTTCCTACCCAACCACTGAACTAACACGCCCACCTCCAGGAGTAATAAACTCTCTGGTAACAACAAAACCCCAGTCTCTAAACTTCCAAGGAGGCACAATATCCATAAATAGGCCTGCCATTCCAGTACCTCAAATGCATGTGTCATCCAAGACTGTTCCGGTGCTTTCACCCTTCCCTCTTCAAGGTTCAGGTTATTATGCATCCGCGTCAGAGATGAGAAATTCTCCTAGGTGGGAATTCCCGCAAATGGATTTACTTAATGTCAATGTTGGCTCTCCTAATTTCAATGTAGGATCTCCCAGCAGAAGTTCTCCGAACGTTCGAGAGTCACCCAAAGCAAGACACAGGTACATGCACAGTGCTCAGGAGTCTCCAAGAGAATTTTCCAGTCAGAAGGATCACTCTCCTGTAAGGTCTCCTCAGCAAGTTCACATCAAGATTGAACCTCCAGACTCTGCCCAGCAGGTGGAATATCGCGGGAGAGAGCAGAATGATCACGAGCAGCTATGGCGCAATGAGGCTGAGGCACAGGCGCGACTCCTTGAAGCTAGCCTGACTACGCCAGTCCCAAGAGGCAGTAGGGGGTTAATAGGTCAAGGAGGGATCGGTAGGACATTATGGGGAATCTCATCCAGGAGCTTACAAATCAGGGACAATGTGTACGTGGACACAACGGCGAGCTTTCCCACATCGCCACGGACAGTCTCAGTCAGGTCGCCGTCAGGGACCAGTCGAAGACACGATTCACACAATGGTGCTAGTGATTCCTCAGGGAGTCAGAGAACTTATGCTTCAGTCAGGGAAACCTCAGAAGCACCTGCCACCAGTCCCAGAGTAGAATACTATCCAGAGCTATCAAGAGACACTACTCATAATGACGAAGCCCACAGCCCATCCAGCCACCCTGCCACTGTGAACAGCAGCTTCAGTAAGACTCTGAAAGGGAAAACTGGTTTAGATTACAGTGGAAATAGACGTGCTGTGGCAGATCTAGTGACAGAACCTGTTAGTCCAACTGGCTTGCAAATCAAAGAAGAAAACTGAGGGGTTGAACTGGTCACAGTCAGTGGTGAGTTGAACAACTTCCTTTATTTTGGGGGCTGGAGGGGGGGAGAGATCCTGCCTAATTCAACAGAATCCAACAAAGGAAAGTACAAGTCATTTGAATGTTACAGAATTCAAAAGCTAAGATGGCTCAAATAAAAAAACGCTGCCCTCTTTGAAATTTGGATTCACTCGGGATCAAGGTTCACATTTGTAAATGTTTGACTTGTCATTGTTACAATATTGATAATGTAATTTGTGAAACTTATCTTTTTTTTTTTAGCCATGAAGTGGAATTCTAGATTGTATGACAACTCAGCACGTCGGTTTGTTACGTGAAGACCAGAACAGATGTCTGGACTCCAGACTGCAGAACCAGAAACAGAATGGAGTGATGAACCGTTCATGGGGTCCATGCTCATCCAAGGATGCAGTCCCAGATTATCGGAGAATGAGAATTCAATCGAGAACAGAATGGCACGCTGCTTCATTGGAATTCAAGACCGAGGCGTCAGGAAGGTGGTTTTTTGGGGTACTTTTCGTCACCCTCTGGGTTATCTTGGTGCTGCAATAGGTTGTTGACATGTATATGAAAACCTGATAGTAATTTTCTCCAGACCCGACCTGCTTTCCGGCACTACTCTCTTGTTGCCTGCTCTGCTGATTTCTGTCCTCCCACTTGTTTTTATCATTGGCAAGAAGGCTTGTAAAATTCAGGGCTTCCAAACATACCTGCCCCCAAAAAAGGGCTGGCATGTTCTGGTTACAGTCTTCAAATGTGAGAATAACATTCTTGCTATGAAGCTCGTGTATCTGTTACATTTCATGACTATCCCATGATACCCCGTCATGTTTTCCATACCAGGTATTCATCAGTTATTACTTTCTTGATCTGTCTGTGAGTTTACTCTCTTTTGCTTCAGCCGATTTAGAAATTAAAATTGAAAACCTTTTGAACAGAGAAATTGACTGGAGCGGGGTTGAACCTGTGACTTCCTGATTACCGTTCCGGTGCTTTACCAACTGAGCTATCCAGCCCTATGTTGGCAGTTCCCCATTTCGTCCATGTCTTTGTTTCAAACCATGCATTTGTGGATGAGCACCGATATCCTTTTCTCATTTCTTATTTTGCATTTGTACCTCCCGGACACAGTGCATCTTTCCTTTTCACGCTCTAAAGATGCAGGCAGCGCTTATGATCAGAGGTTGTTATAATGTCCGGGGTCAATATACAAATATAACATGGTGTGAGGATGGATAGTCGATATTAGCTCCCAGAGGCATTGGAAGTTTCACCGAGGGATCTAGTTCGTCAACTTCCAACACCCAGGGAGCTGATATCGACTGTCAACTGCAAATAAAGGTGTGACGTTGTTGTTAATGATATCTTTCGTGTACTGAGCATGTGTATTTGCTCAGCGACATTTTCTGCTTGGTCCGAGAAAATGAATCTTTAAAGGTATAGTCCATCATTTGTAACTAGTGCATTTTGTTCGTTTGAAGCAACAAAAGTGTTCAAAATCTAATGAAGGATACTGAGCAACTAACCTGATGAAGTTTCAGCTAAGCTTCAGCTGTATATTCCGAGAAAAACAGCATTCTAAGATCTCAATTTCAATTCAAAAGTTACTGAATCATGTTTTGAATTGTTTTGAATTGCAGCTATACGCGGCGTCGCGCACTGATCCGACGAATTATAACAACCGCGCGCGCGTGTGCGTCGTTCCAATGCTTGCGCGCGCTGCGCCGAATAACAAAACAAACTACTAATTTAAATTTTCCTACGGTGCTTCTTAAGAATCACCGTTGGAAATGCCTTCTTTCGTTGATTTCTTCAAAACGACAGCTTCCCAGAAAGAATAATTTCACAGGGAGTTTAGTTCCCTTACTATCTTTCAACCAAGTGTGTTTTTCAACAGTAATTACGCCAGTTACTTTTCGGATGGCTGCAAATGATGGACTATACCTTTAAGTGAGTCTCCTGTATAAAAGGTATTTGTCTTTTTCTTCGTGAGCCATGAAATTTGGGAAAACCGCCAATTGCAATTATTAGCATGAAATGAAAAAAAAAACCTGCTGAATATTAAGTTAGACTAGTACACAGCTACTGGTCTTACAGGCTGAGAAACCAACCCCCTCAGACCAGTCCAACCCAAAATAAGCCCAAACCATCTTTGAAAATTTTCAGAGCTTTCCAAGAGTTTTAAAGTGTACGATAAAAGAAATGTAAGATATTATATATCTCCTAGGGTACTGTTTAATTCCCAAATGATGTAAATATTCCAAATAAAAATGTACATATATGTAAATTGAAGTTTAATTACAAGCCATCACGTCAAAGATTGAGAGTTTTATTTTGGTTTAAAATTCTTCCCGCATCATGACTGAAAGTGCCTGCAGGGGTCAAGTCACAGGAAAAGGGAATAACAAACAAAATACTGACCCAATATTATGTATAGTTAAAGTACACAAATATATGCTAGTATACTAACACGATAGTAATATTAGTAATATACTTTTACTATCCCTAACATGTAGCTTATCAGCACAGTCATAAGGGGTATATTTGAATGATGTGTTTATGTTCTTTGCTTTTACTGTCAAAACAGTAAACTTAATATTTTATGGTTGACGTACCATTTTAAACATCAAATACACCTCTGTTACATTTCTGAATACCGGTACTTAAATGTCCAAAATACCAGATACTATACTGAACTGTACCCTGAGATCTTCTGTACTGTTTGTTGCCCGACTTAACAAAATCTAGAATGTCCGGTGTCGATCAAGATTATGGTAGACTTTGATTTCTTACATTCATTGTTGGCCATGCTTTGCAATATTTGTGCACCAACTGAGTTCAGACTTTGCCTCTTTTGCTTCCAAAAATATATCAACCGTTCTAGACAAATATTGGCCGATCTCGGAGGTACCTTAATATCCTGTCCAGAAAACAGGCCAATAATCTACGACTTTTCATCTGAAGTACCTATTTCAGTGTGGGTTTGTTTTCTTTCCTTTCTTTTCTTTTTCTTCGCGTTGCTAAACAAAACAAAAATTAAACTCAAATACAGAGCAGATTCTATCACCTCGCCAAGTGTAATGCAATCATTTTTCTTTTAATAACTTGTTTCGCTGCATTATTTTGCTGCTGTATAATACAGAATCTCGTAATCTTTGTTCAGGTCAGTTGAGTATAATAATAACTATTTCTGAAATATAGTTGCCAATCTATTTTTTTTTAAAGCTTGACCATGACTTAGGGCAATTGTAAATAATCCAACAACCCAAACTACCTTTTACGTTCAGAGCTGCTGCTTTTACGTTTTAGTGATTGTGTTTTTATAGAAAATTATGAGACAGAGTTTTTAGAAAAAGTAGATACCTTTTACCGCTTTGTATTGTTTCCTATTTTTTTATGAAACCATGTGGACGGTTTTAATTTTTTTTAAACCATTAGCAATGGTTGTTTGACTTTGTTAAAAAAAAATATGCTGAAACAGACAACAGAGGCCACACTGAATACCAGAAAAAAATGTAATAATTGTGAAAGTATTGGAATGAATTTTATGCATGAATAGACAGAAATTCTTGACGTCACAGTGAGACTGAGCTCAGGCCATGCCTGCACCCCAGATGGGTCATTTTTAGCCCCATAAATGTGGCCAATTTACTGGACTACCTTCGTAAATAAAGGCCACACTTGCACCATGTACTAAAACATGTAGAACTTTGTCAAATCTAGATTTTCACATTTAGGCTTAGTTTGTAGTTGTTTTTTTTTTTCTTTAGAAGCATACTCACCCTCTTAATAGGGTAATCAGAAAGTGCTTCCTTTTTCAGATGTCTATTTTTCGTGAAATTTCCAGATTCAGTTTGCACACGTCTGGGTATCAAAATTTCAACATGAAATTTCACGAAAATTGGACATCTGAAAAAGGCAGCACTTTCTGATTAGCCTATAAAGAGGGTGAGTATGCTTCTAAAGCAAAAATAAACTACAAACTAAGCCTAAATGTGAAAAATCAAAATTTGACAAAGTTCGACATGTTTCTGTACATGGTGCAAGTGTTGCCTATATTTACGGAGGTAATCCAGTAAATTGGCCACAATTATGGGGCTAAGTCATTCTGTACATTTAGGGTCCAAAGTGCGGCATTTTTCCTGTCCCTGTCACCTTGGTACTTAGTAATTTGCCATTCAGGTATCACTAAGAATGACATTGTTGTTTCACTTGTTGGGTAGGTGCATGTAGTTCGCTATCCATAATCATTCTTGGAGACGACTGCATTAAATAAGTGCATCAGAATTTGTAAAATCATAGATGTCAGATGAAGCAGGGACAGGAAAGACTCGGTGGTTATGTCGTCGTAAAAAAATCCCGTCCGTAAACATGAATGGATTGGTGATTGTTTAGTAAGTCGTCATGGTAACAGTTACAAGATCACTCCAGTGTTGACAAGGAACACCTCTATTTGAGGGCAAAGAAGCAGCTGTATTTATAGTAATGGGTAAAAATAAGTTTTTAAATTATTTAAAACAAAATCAAGGTGGTTTTGTAAACATTGCATCAAGGCGTATCGCTTTGTTGAAACATTTTGCATCAGTGAATGCCAACTCAGTTATTCCTAAGTCCTCACAATACCTAATAGAAAAGGTTTCAACACCTTACCAGACTGGGTAAAAGAATTGCAAATCGCCTCGCTGAAAATCCAAGACCTTCAACAACACGTTTGGGTTTTTTTCTTACTTTGTGGGATATGTCCAGAATTGCACAATTCGCAAATGACGACTTGGCATTTTACTGATGTCTGTTTCTAAAAGATCCCAACAGCGTGGCTCTATAAGATGAATATTGATTGCGAATGACTGGTTATGCACGGGACTGTAGATAATTCTGTGTAATATTTATTTTTTTGTCCTTGCTTCAATCGACTAACCTTTTCGCACTAATTCCAAAGTTACAGTCAATTGTATAAAATACCATAAAGTACATTTTTAAACTAACCGTCAAAAAAAAAAATCTGCCAGATCATGTATAATCTGATGTTTATTTGTAAAGAAATGCTTCCTTTTTAATTGTACCCATATCTCACTAACAAATGACGTAGTCCTTGCTAATATTTAGTAGTCGTGACTATAACAAAAATTGTACATATGAGTTGAATTATTGTACATACCCTACACACACTTTGAAAGCCTGTGGAAAGATATATATATACTTGTAAAAAAATGTTTTAATTATCATCGGAAGAAAAGAGCGGGCATTACTTTTCTGAAAGCTGCTTTTTGTATTAAACAAAAAAAAGTCTGATAAAATCCAGGAAAAAAAGTGAAAATTATTTTTTATGATTATTTTGACCTATTCATGAATTGCATGTTGTGTATGTTCGGTATTAATTGGACAGAGCCACAGGTACAGTAAATGTTTTAAACTAAAAGACAAAGATTTGTGTATATATTTAAAGTGAAATTAAAAACAAATGCAGGCATTGATCAACACAGAAAAAAAATATTTTTATTGAAAAATAGAAGTAAAAAAAAAAAAAAAAAAATTGCTGCAAGAAATAGTAAAATGCTTTAGAGCTTTAAACCCAAAGCCTCAAAAAGTCAGCCAGTGATTTTGTCAATGTCATGTTTTGGCTTACAATGTACCATGTAACTTTTCACCAATATTTATATTTTTTAGGACAGATTGTTCGCATCAGTGCCCCGCCCTCTTTAGGGCAAAATAGAGGATTGTACTGAAAGGGTTGTTATACAGGTTGAATATCAATAATCCAAGTCCATGGTGCTGCTGACTAGCGAATTTGTGCCTGGTCGCTTAGCAGGAAAGAATTTGGCAGAAACCGTAAGCTAATTTCAAAGCATAGTTATTAGCTTGACGTAAGCAAGTTTTGAAATAAGCATGGGTATCTAATGCGCTTACTGCTTATATCTGTAAAACATACAGAGGCTCTGTCGGCAGAAGAGCCTTCGGGCTTAGCAGTGCCATGGAACTTGGCCCAAGTTCCTTTTTAATTTTAATTTCAACCCCCCTTCCT